AGGAAGCAAGAGCAGTCCAGGCATTCATGCACCTTATTAAAGGATCCTTTGTTTCAGAAGTGTAACAAACAGATGGGTGAAGCTGACAGCCTGTATATAAGAGCTTAAGAGTTTTAAATAGTAAATTCATGAATTAAGGTATTAATAATATCCTCTGATGGAAGACCTGTGGCCTGATTTTTAAGAACTCCCAAACAGATGTTCCAAGGAAGCTGTGCAGCAGAACACTTGGGCTAAATGGAAGCCAAGACTTGTTCAAGAGACATAAGGAATGTTCAGTCTTACATTTTCATCAGAAGGTGTTTTATAGACACAGCACTTTTGTTTGGAAAATCCAAGTGAGAGGCCAAAGAAATGAAAGCTAATTGAAGTCTCCTGAGATGAAAAACAAATCTTAAGAATCTCTGCAGTAGGAGAGGAGCTAGGCACTGTTAGTGTTCTGCTGGGAACACTGATTCTAGTGGGAAAAATTTTATGTGGCTAAAAACCAGACAGAAAATCTTCTTACTTATTTTTTAAGAGATAGCAGAAAACTATCCACCTGAGCAATCTAGATCTAAGGGGGTTGGGTTTTTGTTTGTTTTGTTTTTTAAATGACTACAGCAATTGCTGCTTGGCAAGACTGAAATAATCTAAACCAACTTTATTTTTCACTGTGTAAACGCTTTATAAAAGAACACAACAGTCTCATTATTTAAGTAACCAGCAATTTTTTATTTTAAAAGTTTTTTGGCAAAGCTAATTTCTCTGTTTTGAGGAACATGGAAATTTCAATTAAAAGGTATCTGATCTTTCAAAGGACAAACAGCAATCTTCTTAAATCAGCAATATAAATTTCAAGGCATCCAGTACAATGTGTGACTTCTGAGAATAACATTTTTAGGATTTATGTACATTAGCATATTGCAATGTTTGCTTCTCAGAAATAGTGGAGAAACGTTGTTTTCAGACATGCTGAGACTGAAATAATGCATGGAAATAAACAGGCTTTATCTCTGAAAATTTAAATGAAACCGTGGAGGTTCTGCATTGCCACTGCCTTATATTTATATAACTTCATTACTTCAATAAAGTAAATACTTCTGTGACCTGTCACTTGGTCTGGCTTCTACATCTGAATGGCTCTGAGTAGGTCCAGGCTCAGCCAGAGCAAGGGACAAGAGCTGTCACTAATTCCAGGTGTGTAGGCAGCAGGAGGAGTTAAAAATCCTCCTCTGACATTTTGCTTTTGCGCCACAGGAGTTTCCAGTCTCACCACCTCGGCTTGGCACCGCTTCCCCCAGGCTCTGCAGGGACTCTGTGAACACTCAATTAATTAATTACCTGAGTAAATCCGGCAGGGACAGGCTGTCTTTAAACAAGGAAGTACACCACTTCGTAGTTTCTAAGCCCAGACTAACTTTTAACTGGAACACGTATAAAAGGAGTAACAGTGTATAGATTTTGACATTTTTATTCATTACTTTGTTAGGCTCTGTTGACAAAGAGCAGGTAGAACACTACTTCCAAGGGCTCTAAACTTGATTAACTTTATAAAAATCTACTCGTCATGTCAGAGACTGACCCACTGAACTTTTCATGAGCTATTTTGATTTTTCCCTTGGAAAAATAATCTTGCTATCCCACTGTTTTACCTGAAGTATCAATTACTCAAGTAATATACAGCATAATGCTGTTGTAGTTTCTGAAAAGGAACATGACATACCCAATATATCTAGTTTTTTCATTTTATTAAAGATACCTTATGACAAATATAAATTTCAAATATTTGTTACAGTAATATTTCTTCATTAATATCACTCATCATTGCATGGTCTGTCTAGGTTAGCATGTTCCTCGCTAAACCTTAACAGTGAACTAATTCATATCTTAGTCATTAATTGATTTTGAGTCATAAATGTGTAATTCACGTGATGGCTCCATTATGTGTCTCTAAAACCACTTGACACAAACCACTGCTTGGAATTCCATCTGCACTCCAGGAAGCCAAGGTTTCATGCACTGGAAGCACAGAATATTTGAAAAGTTTTAGTTGTCAAACAGTTGTGTATTAAATTAATTTTTACTAATTGCAACACACTGGAATAAAGAATATAAAAATAAATTAGAATAAAAACTGAATGAATTAGGTAGTATATGACAATTTATACTGTATTATGATTATTTAATAAAGGGTCATATGAGCTCTTTGAACTGTGATGAAATTCACCCTGACTAAAACCCAGAGAAAATGCTCATAGGCTGCTTAAATTCTAGTCATTGTGTCAAGTCTCACTAACTATATTCACTTTTTCAGGACTAAACTCTTTTCAGAGAAATAAGTCCCCAAATCAAATAAATCTGAATTTAAAAATTATGATTAGAACAAGTCAGACAAAGCTTATATTATGATTTTTTTCTGCTCCATTCTAAGACCTCGTGAGTTTGAGTAGGAGACATTTCTGAAATCATGAAATTCCTTCAAAAGCTTGATACACACTGGATATACAATGTGAATTAAAAATGAAGTATGGAAATGGTATTTAGGGGAGGGATAGCTGTAAGAGTGGGGATCTGCTCATGGATTGGTTTGGTCATAAAACCAGGAAGATTACATAGAAATGCAGTAGCCACATCAAAAAGATCTGTAGCATCCCAGAAAGCACCTCTCTTTAAGAAGTGCACTAAGAGTGGAAACATGCCAAAGGAATTGGTCTGTATTCCGGCCATGTTCTTCAGGTGAGGAACCTGGATGGAATGAAAAGTATGGCTCTGCAAGGAATCACAACACAATTTCAAAGGCAGACACAAGTCCTCCCAGCCACATGCATTTCAGTGAGACACACATGGAATTTTCCAAGGAAAAGGTACTATTTTGCAGAGTGCTTGTATGGTGGAAAAGAGAAATAGGCAAGGTTGCAAGTGGCAAAAAAAGCTCAGCTTGCCACTGTCTCAGATAGATTCTTTGAAATTGAAACAAGGCACCTGCATGTATGTTCATGAAAGCATGTATTAAGTATTTAGTTGGTCAAAAATGGAATACTATTGACCTCAGAGAGGAGGGCCTTCACATTTCACTAGGTCAGAGGAAAATAAAATATTCACAGGAAAATATGCCCTCACGTTTACTATTCAAGAAAATATCTTCTCACAAGCCTCGCCAACTCATGAGTCAACATATGCCTGTCATGCCAAGAAAAATTCTTCTCATTGTATGCAGATGAAGAATAAAAACACCAGGATCTGCTGGGTCTAAATATCTTTTAGTAAGTTTTCCATAAGGCCAAATGGATGGAAGCTGTTGGCCATGAATGCTGTTGAGAAGATGTGAAAAACCATCTCCACTGCAGTTGTTTCTGTCTCCTTTAAGGAGATCCATACATGCTACTGGAATGTGCACACATTATTTAGGGATGTGTTAATTAGAACCACAGACACATTAAACTGTAGTCAGAGGTGTCATAGATATCCTGATATTACAGATATCAGCTGATAGGTGTCCATGGTGTTCGTTTGACCAAGATACCAGAATGCTCCCTTGGGCACACAGACTTCCCAAAATATAATTTCGGTAAGACCTAGAATGTGTAACTGCTGTTATAAAGCAGTCTCACATGCAGAAGTACAGCAGAAAATAAAGCCTCCCCATTTCATGAATGTGCAATGCTAAAATGAGCACAAAAGACTTTTAGAGGTACTATTCTGATATGGTCAAGATTTTTCCTCTGAGAAGAAGCGGGCATGCAGCCTGGTAGTGAGATTTGGGGAAAGGAGGAGAACTCTGAGCTAGAACTGCAGAGTGAGAAAAGGAATTGTGAAAGATAGACTGGCAAAAACTAACTAGGAAACCACTAATAGAGGAGAGTGCAGCATGGAAGAAATAGTTTCCAGAAACTGGAGGGACTAAGCATTTATGTGTCTGCAATCCTATGGCTGCTACTACCCAGAAAGTCTTGGGAGTGTCCTGCTGAATCCTCTCCAATACCATTTTGAGAATCTGATAAGTGACTATTGTTACTTTTTGCCTAAAAGAGAGAAGCCTGACTATAATTATACAGAGGGTGTGTGCTTTGCCACAAACGTGCCTGGGGTGTTTCATGTTGTGACGACATGCTTACAATTCTGTAATCTTTATCCTATATAATTTTAAGGATTTTTTTTTTAATGCTAAACACTAATGAGTGCTCTGCCTTCTCAAATCATAAGAAAGAGATGAAGGGTACATCCCATTTCCTTTCTAGCTGTTGTGGGTTGGAAGGAGGGGCACAGCACTGGTTTTGGTAGCCCAGTATGCCTGCTTTGCCACTGAACCTGCCTGGCACTCTATTCAGAAAACTGAGCTGTTCCCAGCCTCATCTCAGATCCTCTCCCAGTTCTGGTGCAGGTAAGAGGGAGATAAATCTTTTTTCTCTTTTATCTTTTCTTTTCTCTTTCTTTGTATATGGCTGAAGCTGCTCAAGTATTCATTTTCTTAGAAGTGGGAGAACTTCAAAAAGAGTGCTGAATGACAGCTGGGCAGAAGATGGATAATGGGTAGAAATACTGTGGGCTTTACTGTTTTGAGGCTTTAGGAAGGAACACAAACAAGAATACAGTATTAAGTTACAAAACTTTAATTACTATTTATAATTAGCCTTTTCAGGTAAGACTTGTCTGTGTACCAAAGAACTCTGATAAATATGGTTTTCATTTCAACCAGATTTTTGATTAACTGATGGTGTGAGAAGATTATATACCAGAACTTCATACAGAGGGAGAAGAGAAACAGAAGAAAAAAAAAACGTTAGCAAGGGAGATTGGTGAAAAATAAATGTTAATGCCAAGGAACAAGGACAGAATTGATGGAAAGCAGTAAATTCTGGAAGAGAGGGGAAAAAACCTAAGGGATAATCCAAGGAGGGAGGAGACAAACTAGAGGAGATGCTTGGTGGAGGAGTGACTGCTGAGATGATAGGGTGGAAGGTGAGAGACATACATAGAGCTGGGGGCGGGAGGAGATTCTCAGAGAAGGAAACGGGTAAAAGGAAGCACATGTGGAAAGGAAAGCAGAAGTCTGGCAACAAGCTGGAGGCTGCAGATGTGGAAGGTGCACAGGAAGCAATCAACAGGACTCCAAGAAGACCAAAGGTAGAACAATAGCATTTACATAAGAGGATAGGAAAGAAAATATCCAGATTAATGCAAATTTCAGGAATACTTTTTTATTTCTACCTTTTCCTTGATTTTCTGTCTAACTTTGAAGAAGCAGAAATTTCATAGAAAGCCAGGTTAAGAGGTTGATGCCATGGAGTGCCCCTTGAGTTAGTGCATATGGAGTTTTATAGCACCTGTCATAATGACTCACCTACAGAGTCCTGATAATCCTCTGGGACAGCTATTATCTTAATTATGAAAGCACTTGGCAGACAGGCAGGTAACTGTTGATATTTGCTGTAAATTTCTGGAAGGAGGTGCTCTATAGGCTTTTCAAATAAAAAAAAAAATAATACAGTGCTTAATTATTCATAATTAAAAAAATTTAGAAAAGTATCAGCTATGATAAAAGGATTTAGCAAAGATCCACAAAGACAGGCAGAGGAGGCAATAGCTCTGGTATTTGTCTTAGATGTTTATTTAGAAAATGAATTTCTGAAGAAAAGCCTGTGGAAATGTTAGAGTCCCATGAATTTGAACAGCCATACTCACATCTGGGATCCCTCATCCTGACCTGTGATTTATTTACACAAAGCATCTTCTATGCTTTGTGTAAATAAATATAATAAGCCCAAATCTGAGGAATTATCTCTAATATGGTGCATATTACCTGGCTTCCAGTACTTTGTGGGGATTAAATGGGATTAGACTGTTTGCAAAGAGTTACTGCAAAGAGCAAACAATTAAACTTGTTCTGGGTTGGCAACTGGGACCTGATACATTGCCTCCATATGATGGGCTATTGCAGAGGCTGAAGGGATCAGAGGCAAAGGGTGGTCCTGAAAGGATTTCTTAGAGCTGGTCTTTCTTGTAAAGCATAAGTGTGAGAGGATGGTATCTGGGGCTCAGAGGTTTCATAATTCCTTATCACTTGGGGCAGTTTACCTACAAGGGAGCTGAAACGGTTGCTCTGTGCAACTTTCTGTTTCTCTTTGTGGCTGATAAAAGACCAGCCAGTGTGTCTGGTGGGGCACAGCAGGGTTACTCAGGGTTGCTGCAGCAACTCTAATTTTCTGTAAGTGAGGAGGTGAGTCTGCAGGCTCTTCTGCACCTCTGCAATTCCTTGTGGCAAGAGTTGTGAGAGCAGCTCTCCCCCCATGCAGGTATGTGACCCTGTTCCTGGGCTGGAGGCAGATTCTGAGCACACAGCTGGATATTGTATAAACTTCTTGTAAGTGAGTTATTGCATCTGCAAAAAGCTCCTAGCTCCTAGTTATTGAAAGCAAAGAGAGATGTTATTCGGCTTCTATTTCTTGACTGTTTATAAAGCCAAGATAAGTTCATACACTAAAATTTATAAAGTCTAAATATACCAGTAATCAAATTATTTCACTTGCCTATCTTGTTAATACTGTGTGTATTGCTAATTTTCACTGTACATTGCAATTAGAAATAAATATATTGAAACTTTAACTGCCACAAATATATTAATAATTTGCCTGTTATCATTATCTCGTATATAAAAGTCTATTATATAAGCAACTAAATACATATGTTGTAAAAAACATGAGCAGAGATATCAAGTTTATGGCTCCATACATTTAACTACTGTGATATAAAAGAACACGTGAAAGATACTATAATAATTATTAATTATGAAAATTGTATCATAAGTAATTTGAGGAAAAAAACATATATGCATTTCTGCGTAGTTTTAAAACTATAATTTATGTGCCATAAATATGCTGATGTAGTGTAAATTAATTTTTATATAGAAGTCCTGAGATCAACCCAATAAATACAGCATAATCATATGCTATTTTAGTGATTTATTTTCTTTACAATTGACAAAAGTGCTATATTTACTCAATGATTTTTTTTTTAACTTGGCAAAAATACCCATAAAAAATGTGTAGTCTGTAGTTGCTTATCTTGGGTTGTTTTTCTTTTCTGTCCTCAAGTGAGACTTCAAAAACAGTTATATAATTGGCACAACCAGGAAAATAAACAGAAATGTAAGGGGTTTGGGTTAAATTACTGCATTTTGTAACTACATTTTTTTTTTCTGTAACTGATAGTTATATGTATGAAATGTAAAATGTTTTCATCTGTAAGTTTAATGCCATATTTTAGGATTGAAAATTATATGATCTGAGAAGTTCAGGATATCTGTTAGTTCCCTCATTAATTTACTGCTAGTGCACAGAAATCATTGCTAGTACTTTCTACTTGTCTGTTCTTCCCAGATGTTAATATTTCTCAATACACTGTGATATTACACAATTTCTCATAATCTCTTTAGATCTTCAGCTGCTGCCAAGGGATCTCCTGTGGACAAGGGTAATTTTATTTTCCAGTGTTGGGGTTGTGGTTTTTTTGTAAGTGTGTGAATTATGTTTGGTTCCTTTTTTTGTGGTAATTAAATATCTCCTCAAGAAAATATGAAAAAAGAAAAAAAAAATCCTTTTTTGCATCACAAAAAATTTTTCTCTATTCCAGCCACTGATTCTGATTCCCTATGTGGAGCTGGCAGCTGGCCCAGAGGGAGCTTCAGTAAAACTGTCTTGTGCTGAGCTGCTGAGGAGCAGGGCTGTTCCTAGCTGATGGTTTGGCTTTGGTGTCTGAAACCCCAGGGAAGATCTTCTATATGTTGTTCAGACCAAGGACATGTCTCCAGGTCTGGAACATGTAAACTGAAAGATGAGGGTGTCTGTCATTTGACAGGTCTTCAATACTTGAGAAATCACCAAGAAGTTGACCTTAAACTTAGGTCTTCACAATTGGAAAAAAAACCTGTACATATGTTGTTCTTAATTATTACAGAGACAAAATTACAGTGTAGCTGGTAGGCAAAAACTAACATAAGGACTACCCAGTCATTCTTCAAAACCACTGACATTGTCTGGGATGATTCATTATGATGACTATTTCTCAACCAGGTATTGCACTAGTGAAAGATTTTAGAATTACTCCATTATTCTGTGACTTCTAATCTAAGGAGAAAAGTTTTGCAAGAAGTAGAATATATCCAAGTAGGGACAAGATTTATTAAGTTTCTCCTGACTTTCAGAAGATGTTTGCTTTAAAATGTTTGTCTCCTGCCATTGGAGCCTCCTCTCTGTGCCCTTCTTGTGATGTCTAAGAAAATTTTTTCTCAGTAGCATTGCTTTATTGAATTTCAGGGCCCAACCCATTACAAATGTCATAGATCCAGGGGAATAACTAAGATTGAGAGGAAGAATCTGCTACAGCAGGACTTTCAAGATAAGAAGGAATTAAGAAATTCAGCTTGACAATAATAGAAGTGTAAATTCTGAGGAGCACCAGGCCATCTAAGATAAGAAGCCAGCTCAGCACAACTCAGAAATAGCCAAATACTAAGGACTGAATATATTAGAAGAGCAGAACATATAAAAATTAACAGCATATGAAGAATTCTTATTGTTTTTACTTAGGGTGGTAGCTTTGTGGATTCACCACCCAACACCCATCTTTGTGCAAATTTGAAATAACAAAGCTGTTGGCCCTGTGTATGATTGGCTCACTGCTCACTGGGTAATGAATCATAATTTTTGGGGCAATGCTTGGGTTTCAGTGAGAAATGTCTCTAGCATTAATAGACCAACCTTACCCTTTCAGTAAGAGATTTTCATTGTTCCAGACTCACTGTTCCAGACTCACAAGAACTCTGTGTTATAATATTACAGTTTCTGTATTGGATTCTGTTGCACTAAGTTACTTCCTATCTATATTCTGAGTTACTCTCACATGAACGCACAGGAGTGGAAGAATCAGAGTCTAGTCTATCCCTACTTTCTTGACCTAATCCCCCTGCTAAAATCCCTTGAAAACAAATTTCAAACGTGATTCTGAGGACTGAGAAAGGCAACAGTTTACACATGCCACAATCAGTGAAGAAGAGCTCAAAAGCAATATCTCCAGGGGGAAAAGCCTGAAGCAATTGCTGGCTTTTCCATCACCCATTTTCCCCTTAAAAAACTTCATTACAGTTTGATGGAGGAACTTACCAGTGGCAGAAGCCAAATATATCACACTGTTTCCACTGTACTGCTGCCAAGTTGGCTTGAGCCACTGGTATTTTAGGATGTTTTTCCATATCGTCAGGACACATTGAGAACCACAAGGGACAGCACCTTAGGACCTAACACTGAACAGAGCTGGGAAAGCTACAGCTGGGAGTCTCTGGTGGGTAATGAAGGAGCTACACAGCAGTTTGAAAAGAGTCTTCCAAGCTCATGTGAGGAGAAATAAGGTATTGATGCATGTTGGGGAGGATCTTTTTTGCAAGAGGTTGAATAATGCTTGATATGAGTGGTTGAAGTAGGACTCAGGGCAATCCTTGAAGGCCAACACACCTGCAGTAAAATCTGTGATGTGAGCTGAGCAAAAATTGCTATACTCTGTCTGCAATCTTTGGCCAAAGTTTCCATTAATTCCAGGTGGTAAATATTTTTATGTTTTCTTCTTGAATTTTATATTTGTGTCACAACTTGTGTGCATTTACCAGAACCCTGTACAGCTGTTCTGGTGCCATCAGTATGGTGCACTGATGTGGAGAGGAAATGAAAGGCCTTCCTGGGGACTTTGAGTGGAATTGTTCTAAAATTCCACAATTAACCTTCTAATCATTAGATGCCTAGCTTAAGTCTGTTGTTTGGATGCTCTGCAGTTAAAGGGGAGACATCAGTACCTCTAAAAGATGTGCACTCCCTGGAGCTATTCAAATATAAGTAGCTGTAGCAGTTTGTGATATGGTTTAGTGAACATGGTGGTACTTGGACAAAGGCTGGACTTGATGATCATGAGGGTATTTTCCAACCCTAATGATTCTATGATACTATATGTTCTTGCATAAGAAAAGTTTTCAAGTACTTGGGATGAGCTGGTTTCAGCTGGATAAGTTTATTGGTAAGAAATATTTGTAATTAATTTAAACAAGAAAAAAAAAAGAAGCAATGCCTTTCTTTTATTTTAGAGCCTTATAGATAAGAGAGTAAAAGGAAAACTGAAACTCCTAAAATATCTTTGTTCTTCCTTCTTTTTTATGTGAGACCTGACCTATGAAACTCTTCTATCCTGTGGCTTTTGGAAAATGAGGTGATACAAAATAGCAGTCACTGTGAGAATAGATTAGACAGAAATAGTGAATATAAAATTCAGGAATAATATTAGTTCTGTATTATTATTTTATAAATTGTGTGTTATATATTCATGTTCTTTATGTGCAATACCTGAAGATAGGCCGTGTTCACTCTAGGATGGCTCTTGCGAAGTGGAAGTGAAATAAATTGTTGAAGCTGGTCTGATACAAAATTTCTCTCTATAAAGTAATACCTCGTAGTATCCCCAGTACACATAGAGAGGCAGAAGTCTTGCCTGCCTGGTGGCATATTGCATATTTTCTTTTTTCTTCTCCAGATGATTAATTTTCCTCATTCTCCTTCTCAGTAGAGCTAAGGGCACATGGGTGGACACAAGTGTGTTGAATCAGAAAGAGCTTATTTGGGGACAGAAGCCATGGGTTCTTTATTCTTTTAATGTGTGCGTGTGGTATGGTTTGTTTTTTTGTGAGAGGGGCAGGTTTCATGATTTAATCTTTCACTACTGAGCAAGGTACAACCCTTCCTGTGGGACTTTTCCACTTCCTACGAAGAAGCCAGAGGGCCATGAGTGGTGACAACAGGATTTTCAGTAGAGACAATAGAAGCCAATGAAATGATGCTGATAGAATAACCTGAGTAAAGAATAAATTTGTGCATTAATTACCATGGAAATGAGGTAAACATAATTCCTCCCACCTTTGTCTCAAAGCCAGGGAGAGTACCCAAAAGCTTACAAAAATCACTTTTTGGATGCTGAGAATATTAACCTCATCTTTTGCCCCAGGGGTTGGCATTTTACCTAACAGCTAGAAAGTAGATTTTATTGGGTGTTTATTAACAGTTAATGTCCTTAAAAAGTTCAGAGGGTACAAAAGCGCAGATAAAACTTTCCTGGAGCTTTCTAATTTGCTTCCTAACATCATGTAACATATGCTATCATAACCAGAGCTGAAAAAGAATTAAGGTTTAGTTTTTTTAAGCTTCATGATAGGCCGTTGAAGAAAAATTCTGAGTATAATAATTAGGAAACACAGGAATATAAACTCATGTTCTGCTATACTGTACAGCAGAGAATTCCCATAGGAATGTAAAAATGTTTATGTAATCATCTT